GTGGTGCTGGGGGATTGAACCGCGGTCCCTGTGCTTTGCCAAGCTTGTTCTAAGTAGGTGCTTTAGACCACTGAGCCATCTCTCCAGCCCATTTGTTTGTTTGTACAATGTCTCACTACATAATTCAGGGTGGCCTTGCACTTACTGTGTAGCCTAAGCTAACCTCAAACTTGTAGCCCTCTCCTGCCTCCATCTTCTGAATATTGGAATTACAAGTGGTGCTACCATGTTCTGCCACTATATTTTAGTTTTATAGTAAAACTTCATAGACTAAGTCTTCCTACCTTGTTCTTTTTAAGATTGTTTTGGCTATTCTTAGCCCTATTCATTTTATATGTTTTAGAATCAGGTTGCTAATGTCCACAAATAAACCAAATGAGAGTTCCTTAAGAGTGCATTGAAGCTGTAGATTAATTTGGGGAAGTGGACATATTTATAACATTGAAACTTCTAATCCATGAACATGGCATGTTTCCATTTATTCAGATTACCTTCAGGCTTTCTTAATAAAGTTCTATGTTTTTCTTTCAAAAAAAAAAGTACAGCCTTTTCAAGATAATAGCCATTGTCTGTCTACGTATCAGGATGTTTTAATTCTTAGGATATCAGTAAAGTCAGATAGAAAATTATAAGATAGCCAAATTATTGGGCCAATTTGCTAGTGTGATTATATTTCTGGGAGGCAGGAGATTTATTGGAGAAAAAATAATGAAATATGCATTCTCTTAGCTTCTAACCTGGTCAACTGGGAATATTATAATAAGCAGGAACTCTTCCTTTCTGTTCAGACCAGCATCCCGCAGGGTAACCAGGTGCACAGAGATGAGAGTAATAATTAGAACTTCACATAATGAGCATAGATTCTTGACTATAATTACAATGTTGAGTATTGCCTGATAAGGTACAATCTTAGGATGGACAAGTCATGGTAGTTTATTTTGGAGCTTTGGGGAGTTAATATGTCTTTCTTCCTGCTGCCTTGTCTGGACTAGAGGTTTCTTTATCTTCTCCACTCACACTGGAAGGAATCCGGGCCTCCATAGACAGCTTCTACTCGAAGACACCATTCAAGAGAGACTGAGACCCCTGTAAGTACCACAGGAGACATTCATCAAAAGGAAAATTTTTCAAAATTTAGATGACATTATCTGAGCACCAAGAGAGCTACACCGGAGCTGAGTCACTGTTTTTTACTTGACAGGATGAATCGCAATAGATTTACCATATTAAGTAAAGAAGTGTCTTTCAGAATCTGTAATTAGTAAATCATTACTAACCATTAGATGAGTAGAATAAAGTCCAATAAGAAGAGATTGTGGGAATTATGTGTATAAACTACTTCTTATAAACTGCTAACATTATCAGGATTATAGGATTGAGGGAGTAGGAAAACTGAGAGAGTAGAGGAATGTGAAGTGAAGTGAGGGACCAATTTCTTTAATTTTTAAAATACAACTAATTTGATCCTTTTCCTGATTTCTTTAGATCAAAACAATGGAATTTTTACAAATTTTCCCTTGGAACAGCAGTTTGTGAGACTAACATTTTATGGAGACCTTTATCATATTGGGTATTCTCATGAAAAAAGATTTGAGAGAAATCTTAATGAGAAAATGCATGATGCATTTTTATTACAACCAAAGCAAAATATATCCCTCACTTGTTAACCTGTTACCACTCACTGGAACTCAAATTTATACAACATCATTCTGTTTAAGGTAATTGAGAAATTTTATATTTTGATTGACTGATTTAAAGAATTGGCAAATCTCACCCAAATCATAGTTGTAACATAATTCCTGTCTTACTTGCAATATAATTTGATATATAGTATCATATATTTTGATACAGGTAACATTATATAAACATTGTGTGGTCATCCAAGAACTATTTTGATGCAAATCTATTTTATTCATCCACTAATTGGCAAATTCAGAAGGTTCATCTATATGATTATTATAATCAATCACCTTTCATTCCTTTCACCTTCTTATTGTATGTCTCAGTTTCCTTTTCACTTGTCTTTTGTGAGTGATGTTATTTTAATAAGTGGAAAACAGGTTCTGCTATATCATAAGACATATTTTTAATTCAGCTAAACACAGCCTATATTTTAGTATAATCCTAATTTCACACAAAGAAGTCGCCTCATGTTTTTGGTGTCCAATGGGTACCAATCTTTTGTTTCATAGTGTTACTGTGAGTAATAAGCAGGGTAACAAAGGAAATGTACGCAGCTTACCTGCTTGATACAAACTCATAAAGTAAGTTAATAAAATATTTTCATCTTGCTTATTCCATAATGCCATTAATGTTCTGTTATATTCATAAATATTAATACATTTGAATCTGTGTTTATATATTTAAAATTAAAATTTTGTGGGCCAGCCTGATAGCTCAGTGGATTAAAGTGCCTGCTTACGCAGATGCAGGGATCTCCTGTGTACCGTGCCGGCCCCACTCCCAGGGTTGAGAGGGCGACTGAAGCTGGGCTTGGTGGCGCCTTAATCCCAGCACTTGGGAGGCTAAAAACAGGAGAATCACTATAAGTCTGATCTGTGTAGACCCTGTACTAAAATACATTTAAAAATAAAATTCTGCATAATGCTTATTCCAGTGCTTATTTCAACTATTACATTATTTCATTTGTATATCTTTGTTGTTTGAATTTGAATTAAGAATTCATATTGAAGGTGCCGTTCCGAGTGGGAGGCTGCGGTGCGCGGGCCGAGTCGGCCGGGGACTGGGCCGCCCAGCTGTGCTCGCTCGCGCCATGGCGCTGGCGGACGGATTCGCGCGGTGGAGAGGACCGTGTCTGAGCCGCTGAGAGCTGAGGACCATCCAGACGCGGCGGGGCTGAGCACACGCGGACACCGAGGGCCGGGGCAGCACGGACCATGGCGTTGAAGCGGATTAATAAGGAACTTAGTGATTTGGCCTGGGACCCTCCAGCACAAGGTTCTTCAGGCCCAGTTGGGGATGATATGTTCCACTGGCGAGCCACAATTATGGGACCTAATGACAGCCCATACCAAGGTGGCATATTCTTTTTGACAATTCATTTTCCTACAGACTACCCCTTCAAACCACGTAAGGTTGCATTTACAGCAAGAACTTATCATCCAAATATTAACAGTAATGGCAGCATTTGTCTCGATATTCTAAGATCATAGTGCTCTCCTGCTTTAGCTATTTCTAAAGTTCTTTCATCCATTTGTTCACTGCTGTGTGATCCAAACCCAGATGACCCCCTAGTGCCAGAGATTGCACGGATCTATAAAACAGACAGAGACAAGTACAACAGAATATCTCGAGAATGGACTCAGAAGTATGCCATGTGATGCTACCTTAAAATCAGAATAACCTGCATTATAGCTGGAATAAACTTTAAATTACTGTTCCTTTTTTTTATTTTCTTATCTGGCTGCTCCCCTATCAGACCTCATCTTTTTTTAATTTTATTTTTTTGTTTACCTCGCTCCATTCATTCACATGCTCATCTGAGAAGACTTAAGTTCTTCCAGCTTTGGACAATAACTGCTTTTAGAAACTGTAAAGTAGTTACAAGAGAACAGTTGCCCAAGATTCAGAATTTTTTTTTAAAAATGGAGTGTTATGTGGCCAATGTCTTCACTCTGACTTGGTTATGAGACTAAACCATTCCTCACAGCTCTAACTGCTGAAGAAGTCATCTGAGGGGGGGCGGGGGGGATGGATGCTCCATGATCTCGGCAGCATTATTCTAGCAGCATCCATGCTTGTTAAGCCTTCCACTGTTAGAGACTTGAGGTTACGTGATATACTTTATGCTCATAACTGATATGGCTGGAGAATTGGTATTGAATTTATAGCATCAGCAGAACAGAAAATGTGATGTATTTTATGCACGTCAATAAAGGAATGACCTGTTCTTGTTCTACAGAGAATGGAAATTGGAACTCAAACACCCTTTGTATTCCAAAGTAGGGTCTCAAAACATTTTGTAATTTTCATTTAAATTGTTACGAGGCTTAGAACTATTAGTTAATCTATCTTCCAATACACTGTTTAATATAGCACTGAGCAAATGATGCAAGCTGTCAGTGGATGAGTGATCAACTAACAGCTCTGCTAGTAATTGATTTATTTTTCTTCAATAAAGTTGCATAAACCAATGGGGAAAAAAAGAATTCATATTGATATGATTAGTTTAATGTATTTTATATATTCCTTGAGAATGAATTCAAGATTCTTTTTCAATTTTTTTTTCAGTACCGGGGATTGAACTCAGGATGCTGTGCTTGCCAGGCAAGCACTTGTTCTACTGAGCTACCTCCTCAGGCCCTCTTTTTCAATTTTTTTTTTTCAATTTTTAATGCAGTTTTGAAGAATTTATTTCACCGTTGTTAAAATGACATCAATCCTTTTTCTCTTTTAAAATTTTATTTTCTAGAGTAAAAACAAAGGGAAAAGCAAATAACAGAAGCAAAGACAATAAAGAATAACATACAACAACACAAATGTTGCAGATTTTCAAAACAAAGGTAGCTAATGTACAATATTTGATACATTATCTATTTTTATCATCAAATCTATTGTTCAGATTAGCTGATTTAGTTATATAAGATCGGACATATGACAAACTTAACTTATTTAATACAGAAAGTTTCAGGATAAAAGATAAAGGGAAATAGCATGATTTATATTTATACTCACTCTGCATTTGAAATAAAAATAATGCACAATTCCACTTAACCAAAATGTTTACACTTATAAGTGGGCAGTGTAAAAAGGAGGTATCTAGAGATTGGAGATCAAATATTGTTTATTTTAATGATTTAAAACTATAGTTATACATGGGGATTAATTTTTAGATACATGCTGTACAACATAGTGGCTAGTGTTATCAATATGGTCTTGTGCATGTCAAAATTTGCTATCAAGATAGAGCTCATAAAAAAAAGACAGAGCTTATATTAAGTGGTTTTCTCACACATTATTAAAATAGGGACACAAAGATATTCTAGACAGTTTGGAATGTGTGCACAATAGTGATTTCAGTGATGCACTCAGCAAAATTTGGATGAACATCAAATTTTACACATTATATTTGTTCAATTTTCATACTGAAATTACGCCTGGGGAAGAGCTACCTAAAACAAAACAATGAAGAAAAACATGGAAATAAAGGATCCAGTGTATGCCACTTAGTCTTAATAGCCAGCTTGCATGGATTAATAGTCTCCCCTTAGTTATATCAAGAGAGCACAATATATTTCTTTTTTTATTTATTTTTTTCCAAAGTTTTATTGATAAACAGATAGCAATGAGACAGTTTCAAATCAAATCGGAAGTACAGTTTCAACAAATATTACACTGCATATATTCTTATTAGTGGTTAATTGCTGTACAAGATGCAGACTTGTGATCCTATTTACAAACACCATTAGAACAAATCATTCTATTCATTAAGAGAATGCAACTATATATCTATCCCAACCACTTTGAATA